TTCTCATGTCTTTCGTTTTTTTGTGAGCTCGTGTTCTAGATTAGTGGGGAGGACGTAGTAGTTGATTGGTTTTGATATGGATGGATTTGGTTTGGAATGATAATGACATTGTAATTGTAGTGAAATTTTTGCTGCTGTTGGGTTCATTTCTGCTTCTATTGTTGGATGTTTCTAGAGCTATTTGTTTGAGAAGAACATGCTTTCTTTTTTTTTGGCAGGGATTGAGAACTCAGCTGCGCCTGGGTTCGCGACTTGGCAGAGATTGAGAACCCAGCTTGTGCCTGGATATGTCGCGAACCCAGGCGCAAGCTGGGTTCATTGCCAACCCAATCACACAAGTTGGGTTCATTGCCAACCCAGTCGTGAACCCAGTCGTGCGAGCTGGGTTCATCCTGGGTTCCCGATGAACCCAAGCGCCTGGGTTCATCACAAACCCGCGAACTGGGTTCGCCTGAAGGTAAAAGGAAAAAAAGACAAAAAAAAAAAAGGCTGGAGGAAGTGGGGGTGACGTGGAATCCACATAAACATATTTTACGCGTTGGCATACCCACGTCAACTGTTCTAGTTAAGTTAACATGCCATGTAAGCAAAAATTAACGAAAGGACCAAAAAGGGGCTGAATTTGTGCACAGTAAGGACCAAAAAGGAGATTTTTTCAATACAGAGACTAAAAAGGGGTTTTTTCCTATAGTAGAGGGACTAAAAAGGGTATTTAACCATTTATCATTCACTTCGGTTATATAAGAATTACTGTCGTACGTCTGAAGTTAGGCATCTCAGACCTATCCTTACACTCACCTTCTTTTGTCCTACAAATCCTTTGATTTGGTGATTTCTTTGTTTCTTTTGTCTTCTCTATCCTCTTCCCTTCTTTCTTTCTCCCACTTTCAATTGTAGTTTCCTTCGTCCAGGGTTCTTGTGAATAAATTCATTTCACCCGACGTAGATCGAATCGGAGTTCCCTTTGTTTGCCAACCTATTCTTAAAACTTTTGTGCTTGCTGTCTTGTTCTCTACTACAAACTAGATCTATCTTGTGGTCATCTTCTATGATGTTAGTTTCTACAATCTACAGAAAGTGGAGTAGAAATCTCATTAACTGCCTTTTGCTTTCTACCCTTTTCTGGAACATGATTTTTTGTTGGATTAATTCACAAATTCCTTTGCACACAGCCAACAAAAATTTTATTAATTTTCCAAAAAAAAAAATCATTTCAGAGGCAGAGTTAGTTTAAAAATTCCATGTCTATAAATCAAACTGAAATAACTAAAATTTTCAAACAATAATATCAAATTGATAAAAGTATCAACCCAACTTTTTTCTTCCCACTGGACTTGTTAATATGAAAAAATAAAAAAATAAAAAAAAGCAAAGAGAACATTGTGGCAAAACAATCGAAACTAAAATAAATGAAAGGCAATTGTTTTACATTGGATGAGAAACCGTTTGCAAAGATGACCCGTTGCCGACGATATATTACTTCGAGGGAAAAGAGTTGGATTTTATATTTAAGTTTAAATTTTGTAAATAAATAAATAAATATTAAAAAATTTCACTTAATGAGATTTGGTATCATTTAATTTTAAATTAATCGAATCAAATAAAACTTTCAAATATAAATAAATTAATAAAAAAAAGGTACCGATTTTAATTTTAGACATGACAATAACGTGACAGCAGGAGGGGGCTCGAATGTGTAAAGCGAGTGAGAAAGCGAGTGCCCTTAGCATTGCTCTTTTTACTTTTGTTAAAAAACAAAACAAAACTTGTTAGACCTTAGTAGGGCTGGGCATTTTAAACTGAACGGATGGGTTATTCAAAAGTTGAACTAAAAAAATAAATTTAATTTGGTTTTAATAGTTTTTAGTTTTTATTTTTTTTTATTTTGATATTAATTAAATATATTTTAGTTTGGTTTCAATTGAGCTTTTAAAAATTAAAAATTAAAAATAAATATTTTAAAAATTAAAATTAAGATAAATATAATAAAATATGATAAAATATATGATAAAATATAATATATTATTAAAAAATAATTAATTAATATTTATTTATCAAAAACTAAAACCAAACTAATTTATTGATAACCAAATTGATTAATTTATAATAATTTCAATTTGATTTCAATTCTCAAAATTAAAAAATAAAAAATCTTGATTACTTTATAATCGATATCAATTTTAACCAAAAAAACGATTTTGTCCACCCCTAGACCTTAGCGGCAGGCTGGCACCTAGGAGGACTTAACCAATGGTTAAAAAAAAAAAAAAAAAAAAAAACGCGGGTGACATAAACACATATACTAATATATATTAGTTTTACGTAAAAAAAATATATTCATATATATATATTAATCTCAATTTATATTTAAAAATTAAAATTTTATTTTATTAAATATTAATATTTAAATTTAAAAATTAATTATATATTAAAGTTAAAGTTTTAAATTTTAAATTAAAAATAACATAATTTAATATTATAATTTTAATTTATTTTAAAAATTAAAGGTATATTTGAGATTATTAGTTATGATTATTTTGAATTGTACTGTACTGTACTTGTAGTTAAAAATTATTTTAATATTTAGTTATTTATTTTTAAAAGTATAGTAAATGAAATATGATAAATTTTATTAATTATTAAGTAAAATTTAAAAACTATATATGATGTATAATTACTAAAATAGATAACATTTATTTTTTAATAATTTAG